CCTCGGAAGTGCCTGGGAAGTCCTATGTACTACCTCGACCTGCCTCCTGACTACTGGAGGCCAGTCAGGCCGAGGAGGCAGCTCTTGCCAATGCCAAAGTGTGTCAGGGGTTGGCGTGCAGCAGCTTGCTTGAGGCTGGCGTGGGAAACATACTATTAATAGTATGTTCCCGAAACCCTGGTTCGGTGCCTGAGTTTCAGGGCCGGTCGTTCTGATGAACGACCGAAAATGGCCCTTCGTTTCAGGCTAAAAAGGGTGTTGCCATTTTTAGTCTGAAACGACACAGGGACAGGCCCTGGAATTCAGGATTTCGTCCTGAACCGCCAGGGGGCCTGTAAGCCCTGGATTTCAGGCTTTCGGCCTGAAGTTTAGGCTTTTGGCCTGAAGGGCGCAGACCTGCAAAATGGCCTGCGTGTGCACGCGCATCATGTAACATTTGTCAAAGGGACAAACCAAGGACTCAGGCTCCGCTTGGGCTGATCAAGCCCTTGCCGATTCCTGAAGGACCAGGTCAGAGTGTGTCCATGGATTTCATGGATACTCTTGTGACCAGCAGGTCTGGGAAAACACACGTCTTTGTTATAGTGGATCGCTTTTCTAGGTATGCAAGACTTATCGCTATGCCTGAAACTGCTAAAACTGACTACGTCATCAAGCTCTTCATGGACAACTGGGTACGCGACTTCGGTCTACCTACGTCTATAGTTAGTGACGGGGATGTAAGATTTACAAGCGAACTTTGGAAGTCAACTGTTGAGCAGATGGGAACGAAGCTCCAAATGACATCAGGGAATCATCCTGAGTCAAATGGATAGGCAAAACAGATGAACCGAGTAGTACAGCACCTGTTGCGGCACTATATTAAACCAAGTCTGGATGATTGGGACGAGAAGCTACCTCTCATCGCCAGCCTGTATAACAATGGTGTGCATAGTACCACCGGTAAGACTCCCAACCAGCTGCATCTTGGTTGGAAGCCCAGAACTGCACTAGATTTCCTGCTACTGGAAAGTCAACCCGCGGCAGCACCTGGCAGCATAGAATTCGCTGTCCAGTATGATCAGATGCTGCAACAGGCCGTTGAACATATCAAGAGATCTCAAGAAGCTATGATTGCATCTGAGAATAAGCATAGACGGCCCTCTAACTTTCAGGTAGGTGATAGAGTCTGGGTCAGATCATCTGAACTCGGCCGAGAGCTGGGTATATCCCGTAAATTGATGCCAGAGTACTTCAGCCCATGGGAGGTTCTAGATGTGATTGGGGATCAGATACATGGACCCTCCTATGTGATCCGCATCCCACCTCACTTACGTACATACCCTGTTTTTCACGCCTCAAAGTTGGCACCTTTCGCTGCAACTGAGCAGTTTCCATCAAGAAGATCAATGCTGCCCCCAACCATGGATGGCGAGGTGGACATCGACCAGATTGTGGAGCATCGAATGATACCTGTTCCTCGACCATCAGGCAGAGGGCGCCCTCCTAAACCGAGAATGCAGTATCGTGTGAGCTTCAGACATCATCTTCCTCGACCATCAGGCAGAGGGCGCCCTCCTAAGCCGAGAATGCAGTATCGTGTGAGCTTCAGACATCATCTCGATCCCAAGGAAGATCGCTGGTTCACACGAGAAGAACTTATGAGAACAGCACCTCAAGTGATAGCGGGCTATGAAAGAGAACTGAAAGGGAAGATGGCCGCAGAAGAAGAGACTTCTCAGAGGACTAACGAAGTAAAGGAGGAGGGAATGCGAGGATCTGGGTCCTCGGCAGGCCTAAGGGGCCCCGGTTGCAGTGGTGCCCGCCCTAAGTGAAGGCGGGCCTAACATATTACAAG